GATGATTCATAGCAAAGCACAGAAACGTCTATGGCAGACCCTCTTTGATCAATTTCTGGAAGCTTTTATCCCACAGTAGGTCAAGAAGTTTGTCGCAGCCTTATATTCTTCTCTTGACAGCACAGCCCTGCACAACAAAGTGTAATGATGTTTACCTCTAAGTATGTATTGCCAGGGGATTCCTCTACAAGGTTTGTCTAGGTATTGAACAAAACTTTACCATTTTTATTTTCTGGGACAGGTGATTGCTTATGTTTGTGTGCTTCTTTTAACTCCAGTCATTACTTGCATTATCTATTTAATCTTTCTATGACAACTGGTAATCTGGCTACCCTTGTCCCAGAAAAACTGCCAAGCACCCGCCGTTATTATCCTTGTTTACTATCTCTTCAGAAAATAAGAATATAGCGAGCAGGCAACTACTGAACTTGTAAAATGCTTTCAAGTAACTAATATGGAAGAATACTCATTTTAAAGTCAAGTGATGTGGATCTCTGTAAGCTGCCACACTCCTTGAATGGAGCCTTTTGTCAGATGTATGAAATTTCCATAATATTCGTCGCCTAAGAATAAAGTTTTAATGGCTGTCTATGGGATATTTATTTCTTTTCTTTAGTGCAATCAAGTACATTTTCTGCTTCATGGAGTTGGGGTGAGGGGGCTTCTATTCCATCAAAGCCATCCATGCCATAAAAATAACATAATAAAGAAATGACATAATCCTCATTTTACCTTCCAACGTCAGAAAATCCATTTTCTTAGCACGCCAAGGAAACCCAGGAGACACAGACCTAAGCTTTTGCTTCTGTTTTGTGCAGAATGTATAAACAAAAATCTAAGAAAAGTAAAGCAAGCGCTGCGTTCCAATCTTTGCAATAAGAAAAGGAACAGGGAAAAATTGATTTGTATGTCCTGACCTTGCCCAGATGTCAAGCTGAGAACACAGCAGATATCCTACCTAGCTTCCTGTGGCGGATCGACACATACAATGAAGGTTCTTGTTTTTCTCACCCCCAGGAAAGGCTCTCTGCACAGAGTCTACAGAAGAAAAGAGTAACCAAAGGTCTATGGCAAATGACATTTTCTCACTACCACTTCGGTTTGAAGCAAGCAAACATTTCAACCACTCCAGCTAACAAGATATCAATTTTTCTGGGAAGGCATGGTATTAAAGGAGCATAGTAATCTGTTTGTTCTGGTGAGGTAGAAAACAAAGGATTCTTCCGCGATATATCTCAAAATTCTGTTGTTTGTAAAAGTGACACCTGTTCAGTTAATCACATGAAATGTGGCATCTATAATCTACTTAATAAGATTTACATATTTGCCGGATTTCAATACAGGCAGAGTTATGATAAATTAGTTCAGAAAATTGATAAATTTTATCCTCTTTGCTCCATTTCGGGGGGGGGGGGAGGCATAGCATGTGTGTTGCTGTGAGTTTTCTGGGCTGTATGGCCATGTTCCAGAAGCATTCTTTCCTGACGTTTTGCCCATGTCTATGACTGCAGAGGTTGTGAGGTCTGTTGGAAATTAGGCAAGTGGGGTTTATATATTTGTAGAATGTCCAGGGTGGAAGAAAGAACACTTGTCCGCCGGAGGCAAATGTGAATGTTGCAAGTGGCCACCTCGATTAGCACTGAATAGCCTTGCAGTTTTCAAAGTCTGGCTGCTTCCTGCCTGGTAGAAGTCTTTGTTGGGAGGTGTTAACTGGCCCTGAGTGTTTCTTGTCTAGAATTCTCCTGTCCTCTGTGCAGAGGCGGCTCTAGGTAATTTTCAACGGTAAGCAAACAATATTTTGCCCCCCCCCCCAAACCAATCACTGATATATATTTTCTGTTCGTCGTGGGAGTTCTGTGTGCCATATTTGGTTCAATTCCATAATTGGTTGAGTTCAGAATGCTTTTTGATTGTAGGTGAACTATACATTTCAGTAGCTACATTTCACATATGTCAAGGTCTATTTTCCCCCCAAGAGTGCCCCTGGGCAAAATCAACTATACTGCAAATGCTTACTTTGCGTAATGGGTTGAGCCGCCCCTGCTTCTGAGTGTTGTTCTTTATTTACTGTCCTGATTTTAAAGTGTTTTTTTTTTAAAAAAAGACTGGTAGCCAGGCTTTGAAAACAGAAATGCCATTCAATGCTAATCAAGCTGACCATTTACAACATTCACACTTGCCTCCAACAGACAGGATTTCTTTCTCCCACCCTGGACATTCCACATATATATAAACCCCATTTGCCTAGTTTCCAATAGACCTCACAACATCTGAGGATGCCTGCCATAGATGTGGGTGAAACATCAGGAGAGAATGCTTCTGGAACATGGCCATACAACTCAGAAAACTCACAGCAATCCAGTGATTATGGCCATGAGAGCCTTTTGAAAAGGTGTACCACGTATTTGTCAAATTTTCATGAAAATGGCTGATCTAGTTTAATCAGGGTTTTTACAGAAGGAAATCATACACCAGCTTCAATATCTGAGAAACATTTCAAAATTTATGAATGTTCCTGAGTCACATTAAACCGTATACAAGCAACTGTTGGCAAAATTATATTGGGCATGTTCAGTTTCATTCTGAAGCTAGACTACAGGTAGCATTGTTCTTACTGGCTACCATCAGAAAATGAAAAACTACTGCAACAATTTTTTTCTTTCCTAAAATTGGATAACATATTAAAGTACAACAGCCCATTTTGCAGGGTTACTACTCCAAAAATGCATAATGCAAATGAAGACTGTGTGTGTTGTGCATCCTTTCCTTTTGTGGCTATCTTAAGGAAATACTTGAAAACATTAGCCCAAAATTGGCTATGATAAACAAATATTTTATTTTCACTTTATCAAAGACAGGGAACCATTTCTAAATTTTGTAAAAAGAAAGAGGGGAAAGTTTTTTGTAAAAGACATCATAATTTAATGTGATTCTGTTAGAAATTTTGTATGTAATTTTAAAATAGCTATTCTGCTAAAAGTATGGAAAATATTTTAATAGAAAAGTAGAACATAACCGTCCATGACCACCTTCAACCCAAAGGACAGGAAGTCACTACAATGGGATTGGTGGAGAAAGGGAATGTCATAGATAGGTTAAGTAACCATATAAATGCTATTCCTTTTGATAAATATATAAATAGAAAGTAAAATAATAACAATAATAATAATAATACATTGGGAGCCCCCGGTGGTGCAGCAGGTTAAACCACTGAGCTGCTGAACTTGCTGACTGAAAGGTCGGCAGTTTGAATCCTGGGAATGGGGTGAGGTCCCACTGTTAGCCCCAATTTCTGCCAGTCTAGCAGTTTGAAAACATGCAAATGTGAGTAGATCAATAGGTACCGCTATAGTGGGAAGGTAACGGTGCTCCATGCACTCATGCTGGCCACATGACCTTGGAGGTGTCTACGGACAATGCTGGCTCTTTGGCTTAGAAATCAAAATGAGCACCACCCCCCAGAGTCGGACATGACTGGACTTAATGCCAAGTGGAAACCTTTACCTTTACTTTAATAATAATACATTGGGCAAAATGATCACCACCATAGTGAGCGGCCAAGGCAACATGTGGGCGCATTAAAGATAAGTTGTGAACAAGTACACACAATACTATACAACATTATTTCTGATCTGAGGCATTCACAATATATTCCAACTTCTGGGCTTTGTGGTGCACCATACCACATAAGGTAGCCTTTTAATCTTGTCCTTAAGCTGCCAAGTTTCTCAATCACTGAATATAATGTAAGCAAGGTTGAGCTTTGAAGATGTCTCAATTTCCAACTTTATTCAGACTCAATCACCTAATATAATGTAAGCAAGGTTGAGCTTTGAAAATGTCTCAACTTCCACCTTTATTCAGACCAGTGGAAAAATATTGATGCAAATTTGAAAAATTATACTGGAACAACACATACAAAATGGTGACTGTCAGGTCTTTCCATATCTAGCTAGCTTACTGGGATGCTTACAATTGCATGAAATACCTAATGAGAATTTTCTAGAACATTAGCTTGCTGCTCATTTATGGTCTCTCAGCAAAACAGCAGAAATGAAAAAAGACATAGCAATAATTGATTTTTTTATTTCCTGCCAAATATTGTCTTATTGAATTAGATCCAACCAAATCTGGCTGAAACAACACAGTAGCACATGTAAGGTGAAAGAGAAGGTTAGTACACTGCAATGCCTCAGTCCTATTTCAATAAATGACCTTTGGTTGACTTATTTTAGCTGAATGGAGTGATGAATGTGAGCGCGCCATGTGTAAATGATATCTATATACATATGTCAGTAATTCAGCCAAACAGATGGGGCAGAATAGATGGGCCAAGGTGCTTACAGTGGAATTAAATATTACTTTTTGGACCAAAAAACATCTTGACACGGTGGAGTTATTTGTGACTACACAGAGAACACAATACCTAAACTTTAATATTTTTATATCAAATAAGGATAACATTTGTGTACTTTAGTGCTGTTAATGATCAGGAGATGTTTGACATGGCTCCATTGATGCAGTTCTTATAGCAAACTGCCCATTAAGGTCACTGAGATATTGCAAAAAAGAAGTCAAACATAACATTTTGAAGCAATAATGACTTCTGCTTTTCCGACTTCTATCTCTTTAGTGCTCCATAATTCTATTTCTCACAATAATTCAGGAAGCATTCTGTGAGTTTATCAAAAGCCACCAGAGCTTCAGGACTGTGTTTACTAGACAACTAGATCAAAGAGTGCTTTCCAAAACAGCCAGGGAACATTTGGTATTTGTCCAAACCAGACATGCATTTTGACAACCTGCAGCACAATATAAACACATTACGACTCTCTCATTTTAGCTGGGGTAGTAACCGAGGATGAGATTGTACTATGAGCTTCAAGATTAAACTGAGAAATAGCTTTAATTATAGCTTTTTGAACGACAGCTGGCCGGTTGAAGACACATCATTGAATAAATCCACCAGAACATATAGCACAATTGATTTCTTCCTTTACCTCAGTTGTTTCCTCAATGCAGCATCTATAGTTAAGTTATTCACCACAGCCCACAATCCAAGTGAAAGAACTGCTTCCTATTCAAGCTGCAAATAAGAAGAGGCTGTCAAAACATGAGATTTGTTTCGAATACCATTTCATTCCTGTAAACTGGAGACATTTGAGCAAATATAATTTTTCCTTCTTTCTAAGGTGGTACATTCTGATAATAAATAATAATATAGATAATTTTTCTATATGGTCAGCCCCTCCCATAACAATCTCTCCAACTTTACTTTTTTGCCCTCTTGTTCTGGGCATGTGCGTCTGTGTTCTAGTTTGTAGAACATTAGCGTTATTTACTTGACTTTTCACTTAATATAAAAAAAAACCCAAAGTGCCCTACCAAACCTATTATTAATAATAATACCCCATTTTTCTCTCCACAAGGAGACTCAAGGGGCTATTCCTTCACAATGCCAGCAGTATTGCTTAATGGTGTAATGCTAGAAAATGTTGACAATTTCCGCCACCTCTCCACAAAAGTCAACATTGATGCTGAAATACAACACTGTCTGAGCTCTGGGACCACAGAGAGTGTTCGAAGATTGAGACTTTCATAGGAACACCAAGATGTTTGTTTATAAATCTATTGTCCTTTCAACTATTGTATGCTTATTAAATGTGGACCATTTACAAACATCACTCTCAACTTCTGGAAAGATTCTATCTGTATTGTCGAAGGCTTTCATGACCGGAATCACTGGGTTGTTGTAGGTTTTTCCGGGCTATATGGCCATGTTCTAGAGGCATTTCTCCTGACGTTTCACCTGCATCTATGGCAAGCATCCTCAGAGGTGACCTCACCTCTGAGGATGCTTGCCATAGATGCAGGCGAAAAAGGCAGGAAAAAATAGGGAATTGCTAAAAGACGATAGAAAGATAAGCAGAACTGCTCCACATCTACTCTGCTTCTGTTTTCTCCCAAAAGGAGAAGAGTGCTCAAGCTGGTGAAAACAGAGAAAGTGATGTAATAAGGGGGTAGTATCTCAAGGGAGGCAAAGAGATGATACAGAAGTGTAGTTACTCTAAGTGAATTTATGTCTCCACGCGCAGGCAAAGCCCATCCAAATATACTAAAGAAACTTGCACTTATAATGCTTATACAATGTGAGTGTGTGTGGTATAGAAACATATCCTTATTCTTTCTGCGTTATTTCTGCTTCTGCTTCTAGAATTTCTGTTTTAAATGTCATGCCCCGAGACACATCAACTATGTTAACCAAGTTATACCTATATATTCTTTTAGACAAGTTGGTATATTTATATCTGGTTGATGAACCAAACCCAGAAAGTGCTCATCTATGACTCACTGGTTATCCTGAAAATAAATTAAAAGTGGTGTGCTACAGGGTTTTGAACCTGGTGTTACTAAACTTCTTTATAAATTACTTGAAAGGAATAATAGAAGATACTTTCATAAATTCTATCTTTAGGCAGAAAAAAATGGGTGCACAAATATGAGATGGGTGACATCTGACTTGGGAATAGAAATGGAAAATACTATGCAAAATGTCTGTTTACTTCAACCCCCCACAAACATGCTCATCAAAAATAAGGACATTTTCTTCATGTAACACAAATAGCATAGGAGATAGTCCTATGCTATTTTAAATTGTTAATTTCTCATATGTTCTCAGAACTATCTTACAAGAAATAAATAACTGTAGGACAAAAAAAAATTCTGTTGCAGTAGTCTGGGCTTTATTTGTTGCTTCCACTTCTAATGTTATTTTGAATTCCCTACTGACTTCAGAAACATATTAGCACAGAGAGAAAAAGCAGTAGTTTGTCAACAAAGTAATCTCATATGAAATGTGAAAGGAATTTTGACAGATTACGAAATATTCTTTTTCCTTCAATATCTGCCACCGTTATTCTCTCCTGGCTTCAAATTAAAAAGTATGATTCAAAATGCTTTTCAGCAGGTCTAACGTACAAGTTATTAAAATTGCAGTGAAACTGCACCAGCAAAAAACCTCAGTTTTGTAATGTATATATAGTACAACCTCTGTATCCATGGGACATTCTTTCTGAGATCTCCCATGGATAATTGAAACCATGGACACTAGCTAACCCAATACTGCAGCTATACTTTGGCTGGAAGCATATCATAGAATTGCACTGGAGGACCTAGAGAAGCCCACAGACTTGGTGGGGGTTGGTGAGTGAGTGAGTAAGTGAAGCTGAGGATACCAAATTTGTGGATAAGGGGGTCATACTGTACTGCAGTTGTAGGGAACATGTAATGTTGGACTGTATCATCTTTCACCATGATGCTGAGTGGGGCTGGTAGAAACAAACCTGGAAACTCAGGTCCCTTCCACACAGCTGAATGAATCCCACATTTTCTGCTCTGAACTGGAATATATGGCAGTGTGGACTCAGATAAGACAGTTCAAAGCAAATATTGTAGGATTTTATGCTCTGGTATTCTGGATTGTATGACTATATGGAAGGGCCCTCAGTTTTCCTTGTGATGCCAGTGTGTTCATCGGATTTTCACTGGTAGACAGCAACAGAATAATGCAAATAGCATGCTGGCCATTTCGTCTAACATTTCATACATAACAACCAGGACATGTGCATCCAAGTAACATCAGAATATGGTTAAGATGGCATACATTAGTAATGAGGCACAGTACATAAGCTAGGAGAAGCTGAAGCAGTTTGCATTAGCCTAAGCTTATGAGGTCACAAAGAGACAGAAGCGACTGAATGAATAAACAACACTAATAGTAATAATAATAATAGTAATAATAATAATAATAATACTTTATTTATAACCCACCCTATCTCTCCTGGGGGACTCAGGGAAGTTTATAATAAAGAGGCAAACATTCAATGTCAATATCACAAATAACAGATAAACTCAAACACAATAAATAAGAACAACAGTATAAAACTTATAACAGTTGCCTCCTACCTACCTACCTTGTCTCCTCAGTAGCTCCTATCTTTCTAAGTACAAGTAGAAGTGTACATTTAGGGGTCTTCTTTTGTTTACATGAGGTCTGAGGAATTATTGGAATATGTTATATTGTACTGCATCAAATACAAGGAAAGGAAATATAATAAACAATATTTTTACAGGTATGGAACTGGCGGCAAAAAATGATGATGATGTTCCTTTGGACCTGATATAAATAAAACGCTTTGTTATGCTTTAGACAGAATGTTCTTCTTTGACACTGAGTTGCTTTGGCAGTTCAGATAGAATATATAATTAATTTTTAACGGTTTCGTTTTGAGCTGCACCCCAAGCTACTGTCTGATTTTTTTAAGTACCAAGGCCACCACCATGGGACCACAGTGATTAGTGGCTCTGTGTTCCAGCTTATAATTCCACCCCACAGCGACCGGGAAGCAGAATATCTCAAAGAGCAGCAAGAAGTCTCTGACAAAATGTAAAGAGCTAACAGTATTAAAAGAATGAATAAGGTCAGGGTGAGAGAGAAGGGTAGAGAAGCTGCACCAACATAGAGAAAGCCAATGTACAAGTTACATGGAGTCTGTTCCATGTGGAGCAATTTAAAAAGCCCTCAGGTGCATCCAAGATATTCACTATCTCTATACTTTGTCCCCCCCCCCCCCCCCCCCCCCCCCCCGCCTTTCACATAAAGCATTAGAAAAAAGAATATGTTCTGGGCAATCCTCCAGCTGAGATGTCTCTTATGCACTGCTGCAAATGTACTGTTTAACTATTCTATCTTGACCCATATTATCTGCCTGTTTTGAGCAACAAGAGGAGGACTTTGAAGGTATAACTTAGCTTTAACGTGTCTCAAAGAAATTATTAGCATAGTCTTGCCTATTAACAGACAACATACAGCTTATAGCTCCCTAGCATTTTATCCTTTCCAGAAGACAGCTTTTTTTCTTTCTGAAAATAGAAGCACAGTGTTACCTTGGTCCCGTTATTCTGATTTACTAAGCATAATTTAAAAGGGAAAATGTGTAGGGTTTTAAAATATTTAATAGGCCTTGACTTGTTCTCACTGAGTGCAAAAAACCATGGGTAGATTGATCCACAAAATAATTCAGCACTTCATAAAATGCAAAATGATCCAACCTGTTCAGGTTGGAAAGTGGTTACCCACAAAGCTGTAGCCACAAAAAACATGTGTTAAAGCATTCCCATTGGCAACAGAATCCATGTAACAAGCTAGCTGTACACAGCAGTCCACGAATGTTTTCCAAGGCACCATCTCATTCTTCTAAGCCACCATTTTCTTTCAAGTTCTTCAGTATAGGAATAATAAATCTTCATATCCCTCCACAGTATGGTGATGACAATCAAGTAGGGAAAGGGATGAATTTTACAAGCAACTAAACTTCTTCTTTCATTACAGGTTCATACCTATTCAGATAAATCTAAATTGATGTCAACTCAAACCTTAGCTCAGTGATTCTTGTTTAAAATACTTCTCTCCAGTGAACCAAGCTGGCTTACATTAAGTGTAGAACCAGTGAACAGGGAAATTCAATTTGTGGGAGTGCTCTGTGGATGGCTCCTAATGTGGAAAATGTTTTTAATTGCAGACAAAAAGTGAAATAGTCCATATTTAATGTCTCATACTAACAGCTGCAGAGTTAGTCAAATGCAGACCTAGAGGAGAGAGAGGTAGCATCTCTTCCATAACTTTATGTTTCATAAGAAACAAGATCTGGCCTACACATGGTTGTTTGCTTTTACCACACTAGAGCTTGGGGACAGAATGTCTGAAAAATGACCTTCTCTTATACAAACCTGTCTGGATGGTGACATCTGTCCCATCACCCCAAGATGTTAAACACTCCACAGGGGTTTTCTTACATTAGCACCCCAAGTTATGCAACTCTTCGTCCCATTCTTTCTGAGCTTCTGACAGATGGTCAACACTGTGTCATTGTGTCCTGTGTTTGGCTCTTAGTTTAAGTTTGTTTTACAATAACATTTTATTTCAGTTCTGTTCTGTTTTTTTATTTTAATTTCACAGTATGTTGCTTTGAAGGAACAGATGGGCAGAATACCTTAAACAGGAAAACTCAAAGAGAAAGTTGATCA